GAGCTAAAATCCCAAGGGGGCGTCGGGGTGGCGGAGCCCCCTGATAATCACCATCCGCTTGGTACCTTACCTACATGCAAGGACTCAACTGTATGATGCCATCTATAATTTAGTGCATTCAGGTGGGCAAGGCGCCGTAGAATGGAGGAGTCTCGTCCTCTTAAGCACGTTGCGACCGCTGGCCTGGGTGGTCCTGCGCGGTGCGACCTGTCAGAGCTGGCACGTACCGGCCAATGACCGCCGTGGGATCAGCCTGTGCACAATGCAGCGTTGCGGGCGGTCTTGCAATGACTGTATGTAGCCTCGATTATCTTGGCGTAGGACTCACATGCCGTCGGAAGGCCTTCTTTGGCCTCCCTCGCCAGGCTATTTTGCTGGGTAACCTGCTAAACCACGGCGGTGGCGCTGATAGAGCAGGTACTCGGCCAGGCCAACCTTCCTTTCATACCTACCTCCCATCTTGAAGATTGGCTTGCCTGTTTCCTGTTCTCGACATAGTCCATGAAAGCGGGCCTCAGTCTGGGCACGTTGGCACGTCACCGAGCATTATCATCCCTTCTCCTTCGCCGACGGTGCATCGACCTCCTAAAGGCCGGTCCTCGCGTCGGTTTCTGCTTATGCGTAATTGGGGTCTTTCCAGAAGTATTGGAAGTTTACCCAGCAGTCTCTCACAGCCAGGGCATCTAGAGCGCTACGTCGGGCTGTACCAGTAAAATTGACCCTTCTGTCGCCCAGCCATCCCGAGAAGGCCTCGGCGTGGGTGCACAGGCCCCCCAGCACAGGGTGACCACGCCAGCAGCTCCACCGTCCTGTCGGACAGCCAAGCCTAGCTGAGCAAGCCAGATGCCAATCCCCTTCATTTCCGCCTCCCACCACAGCAAGCATGAACTGAGCTGGCGTACCAAACAAGCCTACTTGCCTCTCTGCCCTCCGCCTACCTTCCCCATCCCTACGACGACATCAACGATCCTCACGACTATCCAGACGACCGGAGGGGGGACACGATAACGCATTCTAGCAGCCATATCGCTAGCCCGTCACGATATTGACATCAAGAGGCTGGCTGTCGATCCTGAGGGAATCAAGCCTGCCCCAATCCCTTCTAGGACCCTTCCCACGTCCAGCGAATAGCATTGTACACCAAGTAGCATCTAATTTTCCAACCACCACCCAATCTCGAGGATCGGGTTTCTCCTGACATTTACCCACGGCTCGAGATGCCCTCATTCCTCAACGACGCCAACTCGCCCATCTTCCAGGACAACGCGGATATCCTTAATCTTGATCCCCATAACGACTTCGGCGTCGCTGCCTCAGGTAAGGACGCTCGGGTCGTGGATGGCGGCATCACCATCCCGGAACACGCCCAGTCTCGTACCATCAATGAACCATTCGACGAGACGTCAAACTCATCCATCCACGACTCTGACGTATCGGACTCTGTTCCCATGAACACGAATGGAAACGGCACTCGCCCTACGAGCATGAGCTCCCTTCCGAACAACAAGAGTTTATCCAATGGCAACGATAGTGGATATGATGTCGATGGTCCTATCAAGAATGATGACGCGTTCGCCAACGGTATCACGCATACACTTCCTGACCGCACAGTCCGCAGTTCGAAAGAAGCCGGTCTCAATGGGACCGCGTACACGAACGAGATGACCCGCCACTCCCAACATGAAGAGTCAACGACCGATTATTTTACAGAGAGTTCAAAACCTGCACGTCATCTGGGAGAGGACGTCCGGCATCAGCTCCAGACAATTCATTCAGGGAGCGAAGCCACCAACGCTAATGACCATAATGCCTCGCCAGCAGCATTTGTACCTGACTCCACACCACCCAATTCCTCAACGCATCGACTCTCCTCATCGCCGACCTATCAAGCAGGAGCCGGCTCGCCGACGTCCTCCAATCTTCAAAACTCGCACCAGAACTCCCAATTACGGCAGAGACATACTCTCGAAGTACCCAGAGCCTCCGCAAACCGACTTACCAAAGATGGACCAGAGACTTCCCAGGCCACTGGACGCTATTCACATCCCGTTGCGCCTGTCGGCTCACGGAGAGCATCATTGAGCCTGGCTCGTAGGACAACCAGGTCTATGCAGTCAGAAGGTCCTCGCGACGAGATTGTACCGGATGAGGATGCTCAGAGATGGGCCGAGGCACTGCGGCAGAAGAGGGCCAGTAAGCGCAAGAGAAAGGAAGAGGAAGATGATGACCGAGTCCTTGTGGGAACGAAAGTGGACGAGTCCCATGCCAACTGGGTCACGGCCTATAACATGCTGACAGGAATCCGGGTATCAGTCTCGAGAACAAATGCAAAGTTAGACCGTGAGCTTACGGATGAAGACTTTGAAGTAAAGCAGAAGTCTACCTTCGATATGTAAGTGGCCAGCCATTGCTACACGCTCCCTTATTCATCATTCATCGGAATGCTAACATGGTCAAAGTACTGGCAATGAGTTGGTTCCCTCAGCGAAATACGATTTCAAGTTCAAAGATTATGCGCCTTGGGTCTTTCGACATCTGCGAAATCTCTTCCGCCTGGACCCTGCAGACTACCTCATGTCTCTGACTGGGAAGTACATTCTCTCCGAACTTGGATCACCAGGCAAGAGTGGGAGCTTCTTCTACTTTTCCAGAGATTATAAGTACATCATCAAAACGATCCATCATGGCGAACACAAGTTCTTGAGGAAAGTCCTCAGAGAATACTACCAACACGTTAAGCAAAACCCCAATACGCTCTTGTCTCAATTCTACGGCCTCCACAGAGTCAAGCTTCCGTATGGCAAGAAGATCCACTTTGTTGTCATGAACAATCTCTTTCCCCCGCATCGCGATATCCATACGACCTTCGACTTGAAAGGCTCGACTATTGGCCGAGACTATAGGGAAGAAGACTTGGAGAAAAATCCTCGAGCCACATTAAAGGATCTCAACTGGTTGCGACGGAAGCGCACGCTAGAGCTTGGGCTTGAAAAGAAGAGATTATTCTTAGAACAACTACAACGCGATGTGGTTCTCCTAAAGCGCCTCGATATCATGGACTATTCTCTCTTGGTGGGTATCCATGACCTATCAAGAGGCAACGACGAAAACCTCCGCGACAAGACACTTCAGGTTTTTAACCCAGGCGGTGAGAAGTCTCCTGAAGACGAGCCCCAATCCGTCCTGCTTCGAACTCCTTCGAAGTTGGAAAACGCGCGAAAAGCTCGGGAGCTCAGACAAATGATTCGGGCGGAAAGGCCAGTTCCGCTTGGACAAGCATTCGACAAAATGCCTGAAGTGTTGACTGAGGGTCAAAGCCGGCCTGGATTCGTTTTCAACGAGGATGATGGCGGTTTCAGGGCCACGCATGAAGATAATGCCCCAGCTGATGAGATTTATTATCTTGGTGTCATTGATTGCTTGACTCATGTAAGTCATTCAACAATTGTGTTTCTAACCAGTCAAGTGTAATAATCTACTAACAAAATCGAAATTTAGTACGGAATGATCAAGAAGATTGAGCATTTCTGGAAGGGCCTGACAAGTGACAAAACACAGATTTCAGCCCTGCCCCCAGCTCAATATGGGGATCGTTTCTACAACTTCGTCGAAGGCAACACGATGTCTGTGGAGGAGGCTAAAAGGGAGGAAGCGCGGTTGAGAGCACAGGAAGTTACCCAAAGCTTGGAATCCACGATCAAACCACCCAAGCACCATAGCATTCCTCCTATGCCCGATCACCAACCGCCGGCACCTCCCCCAGGTGCTAGATCTCCGGAGGGCCGAGAAACTGTGGAAATGGCCAACCGGGAAGCCCAACGAACCGAAGCCGCGGGCATGTCCGAAAAGCAGATCCCTGATAGGACACTGAGGGCTGCAGTCCCCTATTCGGATAAGCGAGAATCACTTCATCGTGAACCGATCCTTCCCCTCGTCCAAGAGGCAGTTGAAACCGCAGAGATTCGTCCGGAAACTCCCCCAAAGAATTTCATGCTGCCACCAACCCGAGCTCCACCCCCAACTCCACCGAAACCGTCATCGCTGGCTGACACATATACCAATATCTCAAACGGCACCGCCGGTAGGAGATTGAAAGCCATGGCGAGCCGAGAGAGTCTTAACAAATCTCTACCGCCGCTTCCGAAACAGGAAGAGACGGACGACAGTGGCGTTAGAATGGTTGCATAGTTCGTCAAAACATTCACTTGCTGTCTACCTCGCTAAATGAGACTCGGAGACACATGGCGAAAACAACAGGATTTGGTTCTCTTTCACAAAGTCATCTGAACATCCCCGCTGGCGTTTTATTTTCCTTTGTGCTGGTGTTTCTGTCCACAATCTGTTCACAAATGGAGCTCTTCGGGTTGCTTAATGACAACCTTTCATCATTCCTTAGAAACCAACTTTTTTTCCCTCACAACTTCCTCTTCTTCGCATTTCTCTTACCATATGTCATAAAACACCTCCATTAGCGAGGACTTGCATTAGTATTGGTTTTCAAGGTAGTCCGGGCGCTATTATGTGGTGGAAGAATGGGTAACGGAGGTTACGTGAACCTCGTTGGGGCTGGGTTTTGTCGAGTTGAGGCCAGAACATAGAAGAGATACCACTACTGCTTTTCTTCAAGCAAGCTGACTTATATTTCTTACACTCACAGCCTGTTGTGTTTATAATTTCTTGCAGTTTTGTTTCTTATCATCCTTTTTTTTTCTGTTCACCTTGCTTGATTGTTACTCGTCTACATAGGGTTTGGGTTGGGTTGCAAGCAAGGAAATGATATGGAGATGGGAGATTTTTCTCCTTCGTTTCAAACCTTGGATACTAGTACACGGGCGTCATCCATTCGTGACGCTGACCAGTGATATGGTAATATACAGAGATACTTTACAAGTTATAAAATAGAGCAGTGCGTTCCGCCCATCAAATGCTTTGCTCCTCTTGAACTCTCAACCAGCGTTTTTCCCCCGGCCAGGACAGTAGGAGAGAAAAAGGGAAGACCATTATCTCCTCTTGGACTCCAGCATACCCTGGATATCCTCAATGCCCTTTCCCTTCTCGTTGACCCCACCTTCCGGCGCAAAAGTAGTGGTGACGGTCATTTCCGTAGCGCCCTGGCGGCGCAACTCGTCTAGACGACGCTGCTTCTGCAGGTTGGCAACACGCCATTGCTTGAAGTATTTAACCCATTGGGCGGCACAGTCCTGGTCGAGCTGCTGGGACTCGGCGCGGCAGGCGACACGATCGGCCTGGTTAGGGTCCTTGAGGGGGTCGTCGATGTTGTGGGCGTCGAGGCAGCCAAAGTAGGCGTCGCGGGCGGCCCAGCAGACCTTGCGCTCGGAGCGGTTGGGGATGGCTGCGCCGGAGCGAATGGCGTCGCCGCGTGGGTCCGAGGAGCCGAAAGGCCACACGCCCATGGCTGCGATGGTGGTGGGATGTGTTCGGTGGGTTGGCTCGAGATGTGGTGGAAGTCTTCCCGGCTTGGTGGGGAGTGAGATGATGTAGTGTGCCGAGAGCTGGCGGAGAGGCGAATAACGACGGGCAGCAGCCCGTGCGGAGATGGTGCTTAGGTAGTTTCTACAAATAGAACACCGGCGATATCAGAGGAATTGGTTTGAGGGTTCTGAGCCTGGTTTGCGGTGGTGCTGTATTGGACAATTGGTGGAATACGTACAATGGGCAATGTAATTCTGCTTCAACTGCTATAAAATTAGGTGTCGAGCTGTTCCTGTGCTTGGGTTGGAGATGACCAAGCGTCAAAAGCGGCAGAATAAACGGGCGGTGGGACGGATGGCGTTAGCGCAGGGTCCCCTAAGCCAAGCACTGCTAATTACCGTCTACAGGCTTAGCAGGGTGTCAACTGGACGCTTATGCCAGCTGGACAACACGCAGGCACTTCTCGGTTCACACATCCGCTATCCACTGGGGACATTTCCTATACCAACCCCGGCAGTCCGCCAACTTCTATCCCGTCCATCCCTTCACACATCTTCACACTCGACTCCTCAACACCTTGCTATCAGGAACTAACCCGAGCTGTTATTGCGAAGACAGCTCTTTCTGACAAAGCGATCCCCTTTTCGAGCTCTTTGAGCCAACGTCAACAAGACCTACTAAACGCCGTCAACCAGCGAGATTTCGAGATGCTATCGCGATCATAATAGTTTCCCTACCTCTCCATCCCAGACACACTCGCGCACTCTCCAATAGAACGAGATCCTCCTCCCTACGACCGCTCCAGTCTCAACCTCTTCAACTCCCTCGCGACTCTTTCACCACCATCCCCGCATAATCTTATAGCCCAATATGGCCCGACGTCGCAGACCCCCTCGAGCCGGCGCTCTAAATGAGCTTCCTCCTCTCAAGATCGCCGCCCAGATCGCAGTGTTGCAGGCGCTGTTCTATGTTTCAGCCCTCGTTCTCATGGTATTCACTGCCTTGATAGGCGGCATGTCTTTTGGGCCAGACTTGATCTTGGGTTGGGATCGCATCAGGGGCGACACAACCCGAGGGTGGATGCTGGCGTTGGTATGGATCATTGACGGAGGTTTGTGCATGTAAGTCTCCCCCTTCTTGACAAGGTGTCCCTCCCGGCCGATTCCCGAGTCAAACTAACAGCATTCAAGGGCCGTCGCCATCGTCGCGCTCATCGCCCGAAGCAAGCTTGTACCGGACTTTGCTCTCACCATCCACTTCCTCCACCTCCTCGTCACCACTTTCTACACCGGCTCTATCCCCAGCAACATGATGTGGTGGGGCACGATGCTGCTTTCCACGACGGTCACCATCAGCTTGGGCATGTGGGGATGCCAGCATCGCGAACTCCAGCCCGTCTTCTTCGGCGGCGGTCGCATACTGGGCAACAACGGCCCTCCCCCTTCGAGTACGACGGCAGGGAGCGCGAGCGACCCACATGAGAACGACGACGAAGACATAGAGTTGGGACTCTCAAGGGGGCGAGGAAGGGACAGGTCCATAAACGAAGAGTACGAAATGGACAAGATGGTTCCCAGCCGGTAATATTTGAGCGAGAGCCTTTTTTTTTTTAATGTATTTCTGTTTGGGCGGGCCGGTTCGCCTAGGAACTCAAGATGAGCGTGCATTGCAAGGCGTTATCTGTTTGCTTCTTCTGTGGTTCGAAAGAACCGCACTACTATTTTCTTATTATATATATATTTATTACTTGGCGGAATGGGCTGGATAGAGCTCACACAGAGTATATGGCACGGGGAAGCAACCGGATATCAGATCATCCGGGCTTTTTCAGTTCATGAACTTGTCCAATTTCCTAATTATCACGGCTGGTTCGCATAAATCTTGTTAGATGACAAAAGTTCTAAGGGAAATCGCAACCTTATCCTAGAATCCCATCGTTTAACTATATAGAACGCCTTGGATGATACCAAACATGATACATGAAAGTCTTCGTTTTTCCGTTCTTTTGTATAATGCGAACTGTTACAATACTCTATCGTACTTCCAACTCTCCTCTCATGCCCCGGCCACAACGGCGAGGCTATCGTATATGACCTTTTTGACCTCGTAGAGTGCGCTCCTCCTCCCGGGGACCGGCAAGCCCACGCTTTCGACCTCGATTCTACCTTCGGCCGTCTTGCGAACCGCCACGCTGCCGTCGATGACGAGCATACCCTCACCTCTGAACTCAGCCGAGTGACCATTACCGAGCATTGCTCTGCGGAGATCGGCGAGGCGGAGATCACCCACATGCAGTGGCTGGGCTGTCGTCCGGGCCGCGGAAACCATGTTGGCCGGGAGCACGTCCAGGATGGGCAGAGACGCCGGTATCGAGGGGTTAGCCAGGACGACGGCGTTGGAAGCGGCCTCCACCTTCTGCCGCTTGTTCGAGGTCTCGTCCTCCTCCGGCTGGGCGTTGGCGGAGGAGAGTGCTGCAGCCAGTAGCTGGCCGCTGATGGTGACGACGCTGAGGCCGCGGACGTTTTGCCACTTCAGCTTCTTGACGAGGGGGTCGGCCAGTTTGACAACCCAGGCGTTCGTGTCGACACTAGCGTCTACCGAGTCGCCGATCTGGGGTGTGAAAACGTCTGCCGTCCGGTCGCCGCCCTCGCTGCTGAGTGCGGCGCGGCAGTCCTCGGCCAAGGCCATGGTCTCCTCTTTATTGCCGCCCACAAGGATCAGCTTTCGGGGCTGAATCAGAGGTATAAGCATGTTCAAACTCCGCTTATCATGCAAACCGCTAAAGTCAACAAAGGCCAACCGTAGGTTGACAACGATGTTTTCGGTATTGTAGACCAGTTTCGAAGGCCCTGCAGGCTCCTCGGGCTCTAGGTCTTGGGCTTCATCAAGATCGTCGAGAGGGAAGCCATCCGCACCGATGGCATCGTTAGTGTCGTCCGCAGATATCGTGCGGTTAGGTTGTGGGCGCTTATTCAAACCGCCGTTCTTCGCAACCTCCTCCCACTTCCTCTTTTTGCCAACCTTCTCGTCTTCGGCCGTTACCGCTCCGCCGTCGGCGGTATCGTCCTCCTTCTCCTCTGCCCTCAGGAAGTCTTCAGGTCGGATAAGCTCTCCGTAATCATCGGTCCTCTTCCTTCGGATGGTAATAGGAAACGTCCTCTCTCTCCCCTTCTTGCCCCTGGTATTAAAATCGTACACGCCTTTTTTCTTAATAAGAACATTGATCCCAAGGTCCTCATCTTTCAGAACCACATTCTTTCGGCCGGCCTGGCCAATGGTAGCAGACACATTAAGAGCCTTGCCCTGCTGCTCGCCATCTTCATCTTCGGAGTCTGATGATGACTCGGAAGACGCATCGTCCACGATGTCACCAGATGCCTCCAGGGCACCTACACCACCAGCTTGCTGTGTAGCTTGTAGCTGCCTCTGTGTGGCTAGCCATTGCTGATACAGGACCAACTCTTCACCTTCCAGCGCCTGGCGATAACCCTCCTTCAGATCCAGCCCTCGACCACCTGCGTACACGAGTTCAAGGCTGTCTCCGCTGGCCGTCGTCTCAACCGCAACGCCCTCCTTCCTCTCTTTCCACCACTCCCACAGCGTCAGGGCCACAGTGGGTGTTTCGTCCTTCATCGTCCCGGGCTTATCAGTCAAGATAACCAAGTTGCGCGAGTCCTTGGCCAACCCCTTCAGCAAATCCCGAGAGAATCCCCACTCCATGGTGGTGTCGCTCGCCAAGATGACTCGTCCCTCGGTCTCGACATTTCCAGCATCCCGGTTGAGAAGCTTGGCTACCTGTGCCTTCCTCTCCACAAGCCGCAGGTATTTGAAATCAAACGGGCCAGCTTCCTTTCTCTCGCCCGTCCCGTTGACCCTCTTCTGTCCCTCCGCAAACGCCTCGAACTCCTGAACGATCCCGTCGTCCATCCATTCCAGCATACTCCTAGCATAGCGCATGGTACTGGACATGTTTCGTCCCGCCAGGTAAAGCTTTGCAGACTTTAATGAGCCCCCATCCTCGGCCACAGCGTCGGCACGCCAGGCATGCTCCAGTAGGTACGACATCTCCAACACTCGCGCACTCGAATCCACGGGAATCAGCACGGTCCCCCCCCGGCTGACGCAGGACTTGATCATATCGATCAGATGCTCGTCACGCTTTACGCGACCACCCGACTGGGCCGTCTTATCCGCACCTCGACTGCTGCATATCAGTGCTGTAGGTTTCTTCAAAGCCTCAATAACCTCGGCTCCACCGCCACCAGCGCCGCCGAGCCAGGCAGCTCCGGCGAAGACATTCTCACGAGCCTGGTTCCAGTCGACCGCATAAACAATCGATTCGAGTCCATGCTGGAGGTGCCAGATTGTACCACCAAGGGTGTGGCCGGAGTTATATGCTGTGATTGTCAATCCATTGAGAGGTGGGGAGAATGGCGACGGTAGGGGTTGGTGAGGTTGCGAGTACTTGAGCGGCTGCACAAGAGAGAAGTAGCGAGCAATCTCCTCGGGTGTCGGGGATTGAAGGAGAAGGTTCTGCGCCTGAGTCGCGGTCTGCGAAAACGAGTAGGCAGATTCGGAGAGTGACGTTTGGGGTATAACAGTCGCGGCAGCTGGGCTCGAGGCATAGAGATCCTGAATCAGGGTTCGGCCAAGGTCGATGATAGGTCGGGTGGCGTAGACAGGGATGCGCGTGAACAGAGGAAAGTTCTTGCAACAGTGCGCGTACGCAGCAAGATGTGATGCCTTGGCGTGCGTAAGGAGAATCAATGACAAGGTTGGAATTTGTCTGTGGCTGTCAGCGTTGCTTCGCACTTGCTCGTGTGAGGTCGCAAACCTACTTCTCGAGCTCCTTAAGCTTGTCTGTATCGAATGACTCATCCCATCCCACATCAACCAAGACTTTCACACCTCCATCCAGCTCCAGAAGAGATTGTGAGGCTGCCGACCCTGAGAGGGCGCCCTGGAGAGGGCAAAAGGTGAACATGGTCGCAATCGGGATCTGTGTTGTCGCGTTACCCGCCCATGATCCACCGAACTCTGTGTAGCAAGTCGCCTTTTAAATTCGATCGTACCCGAGTTACAGTAGATGAGACTCGTACCTCAAGATGAAGAATAGAAGCCTTGGTAGAGACTGGGTCGAAATTAGCATAGTTGGAGACAATGCGATTATGCCGTCTAAGATTATTGCGTCGCGTCTGGAGGAGCTTGGCATGGCGCCCAGGAAAGACGGACCGGTACAATATTTATGCGCCGACGCCCGCGCCCTGCTTATGTACCTAGGTACACAATATGGCACACCAAAGGGCCTACTCGCTCTCCTTTGTCACGTAAGTTACGGATCCAATATTCTTGAAGTGACAGTAGCAATCGTTAAAATAAATACACAATACATCGCTTTATGATGGTCTCCGAGGTAGTTTGTTTATCATTATCTTAGTTGTCTTGATGGATACTGCTCCGACATTCAACATTGGTGGCTTTGGTATCCGCATAAGCCCAGATGAGCACACTTCAAGTCACGCGAAGTGTACGAAAAGAGAAATCCCGACACAGGATTTAAAACTGACATGAGAAGGCTACGAATCGAGGCACATCAAGCTACAATTATCATCTCGCACCTTCCATCCAGCCCCTAGAGAGAGCCCCTGCCAATGAGCTATGCACGAGATACGGTGAGTGCAGATTCACATTGTGGGAAACACTGGTTCACAAAGTATCTTTTAGGTCTATCAAATAAATCAAATGGTAGTCTCTCTTATCCTATGTACTATGTTGATATGATTGACCCCATCGACAAAGAACCGTGAACACCAACCCGGCTTCAATTCCCAAACGAGCCGAGTATCCTTCCATTCAACACCACTCAAATAGAAATCCCATCACATCATGAGAATAACTGCTCCAATGCCAATGACGGCGAATGCATGCGATAAATACAAAACAAGGTTCATGTCAACCAATAACGCCTAACCATGCAAACCATTCATATGCCCAAAAAGACACATCTCTCAACAACCTGTACTGCGATCGCTTCAAATAACCCAAATTTCATGGTTTTTCTTCGATTTATTCATGTTGATTGCGCAGTGGACTCGCTACCATACTAGGCAAGAGCAATCCGTCTGAAGGCGCTGCGGTCAAGCATCCTGAGCGCCCGTGTATCCTCACTAACAGCACCGGGTTCCGGTGCAGGAAGAGATCGCGGGCTGTTGCCAGCACTGCCACCATTGGTAGCAGGGCTGGGGTTGGCCTCGCTTGAAGATGGGGTAGGATGAAGGAGCGAAGAAAGGTTGGACCTCGACTGGGTGCTGAAGCTGTTGGTGTCGGAGTGGGAGCTCCGAGGAGGGGTAACGCTTCGACCCCGGCTGAGTGGACCTTCAGCAATCAATGAGGCTCCAAGAGGAGCGTTTGTCACCGCGTGCAAGGCTGGGAGAGGGCCCTGGGGGTTCCTGGCAGAGGTTGGCCCAAGACGCGGATCAACCATCACAGCTTGAGCAGCTGCCTGGAGATTTTGATCGCGAGCATCACTGATGCGGGGCGGCGAGGGCATGCGGTATTGAGACGAATGGTGCTGGTAGGGTGTGTAGCCTGGCTTTTGGGGTGCGGGAAGGGGAAGGGAAGCTCTTGGTTCGTATGAGGCGTACTGGTGAGGAGGCGGGGGAGCATGCCCAGGGGGTGGGTGTTGTTGGTATGTTGCGGAGTAGTGCGAATAAGGGGGGGTCTGGGCGGGTGAGGGAGGCCACCCGTATCCAGGCTGTCCATATTGAGGGGCATAGGCTTGGTGAGGAGCGTGGTGTTGAGGGGTTGGCACCATATAAGGTGGTTGTTGCATCGGGGCCCGTGTCAGGGCAGGCGTCTGGCTAGCTTCTCCCATGCTTGACTCAGGATACATGCCTTTCATAGGGACAATTGAGCGAAGGGCAGGGTCATTTGTGGGCTGAGGAAGATCTGCCTGTCCGTGCTGCGGCCTCGAATAGTATGAGATGAGGTGGAGGTGTTGGCCGTTTGACGTTGTAATACTGAAGGACTGCTTCATGAGACCGTCCGCTTTGTATCGATAGCCCTCAGGTTCCCCATCGTCACGATCATCATCGCTACCACGACCTGACTCTGGCGTCTTGTTGGATCCTCGGCGAATGCTATTGAAGCCACCACCCCCTCGTTTGCCCTCCATTTCACGGTAGGTCAAGAAGCTGCCTGAAACTCGGCTCGCACTCCATGATTTTCCGTCGGTCCATCTTCTCATACCAGCCTCTCGTTCATCCCAAACAAATACAGAGCCTGATCGAATCGACTGACGCTCCTTTTCCGACAAGCGCCTCTGAACCCTAGGAAGCAGGCCTAACCTACAAGCTTCAAAGAGCTTGATGGCGTCCGCGGGCGTTCGTACATAACCGAAATATGTCTCCATTTTGAAATGCTATTGGTAATTGAATTGCTGCTGAAGGTGTGTGTTGTGTAGTAGCATAGAAGAAGTATGTCTTTTCAAGACGGTCCCTGCCCTTGGCATGTTAGCATATCCCGACCTGACCACATCAGATGCAAGTATCCACATATGGTGGTGAATAGAAAGGAAACAAGATCTGTAGCACTTGTGCAAAGAAACTGGCCCTGGGACAGGGAGTGCAGTACAACATTCGTCCGTTGACAGTGTAACGCTGGCGCCTCTGCCATGTTCGTGTGGCCAGTACAAGGGTCGGATGCGTTGTGAAAAATGGCAGTCATAGCGACAGAGTCCTGAATTCTCGACTAACATTGCCAAATATTTTGAGCAAAGCGCCGGGGAATTTAAACTATCCAAGCTGCAAGCCACAACCCAAATACAGGTGCCCTTCTCTAGATCGACTAGCAGGTGATGCAGTACCAGCCAATGACGATGGTTTAATTGATACGGGATTAACTGCCGTACGAGGCACTTGCCTTGACTGGTTTGAAATGTCCCTTTCCTATCACCATCGTCGGCCCATCGCCAATAACCGGGCGGCTCTCGTTAAAAGTTGGCGGAAATGGTCATCTCGGCCAAATTCCAGGGCAAGGCAGCAGAACCCATGGACGATTCGGTGAGGTTTGGCATTGGTATCACACCGCAAGCCAACCTCAGGGCAAGCCAGGTTGTGCAAAGGCAAACAGATAAAAGGGAAGAACGCCGATAATGAAGAAAGATGGCGAGAGGAACCGACAGAACATACCCTTCAGCTGGAGGTGACGACCCCAAAACGTGTGTCCCAAGGAATGGTTTGCGTGGTAACCTCGAATCCTGGTTAAATGGTGAAGCCGTATAACGAGGCTGTATCTGTTTCGAGTTGCTCGATGGGCAAGAGGGAGGAGATAGAAAAAGATCAAGAGCGAAACCTCTCAAAAAAAGAAATGGGAAAGACGAAGAACTTTATTAGAAGGGCAGTGAAGTAGGATTTGAAGTAAGGTAAGGACGGGTGGACAGAAATGGGAATGATGGGGTTGATGAGCTCAAGGCGTCCAGGGTCCTCCCTCACAATGGGGATGGATAAGTCGGCTCGGGGCTCAAAGCCAAGGCCCAAGCGGCGTCTCAATTGCAGAGCATGAGATGGGGGGTGTGGCGCTATCGCCAGAGGGAGGCCAGCTGGTAAGGTACGTACCGGTACGTATCGCAGTACATGATGCGCCCCAGTACCTGACCTACCACTTTGAGGCAGGAGCCCTCAGTGCTCTGGAACGAAACCCAGAACGCAGCAGCCACGCCCCCCCTTCAACACACGAGGACGAGACGTCTGAGGTTTGCGCTCGGTGCACTATCTACGGCCTCCCTCGCTGGTTATTAGACAGGCGTGTGTGCCTTTCTTGCCGATCGACCGAGTGCGGCCCCAGGACGACAGAGCATCATCTCAATGGGCCGGATACCCGATTACGTGGCCGGTCTTCATCTTGCGACTGAGATTAGCCTTTGCACTGTCTTGCTGGCCCAGAGCGTATCGCCCCCGGGCCAACTGGCATGAGCAAGACGAGCAGACGCCACAGGAAGCAGAAGAGAGAGTGAGAAAGTGAGAAAGTGAGCTGTCGGAATGTGGGATAGAGTTGGCTTGGGGAATCGCGCCCCTGCGAAGCTGCAAAGAGCGGTACGACGACGGTTACATCCATCCAGGTGTGGCTCTCCCAGCACTGCGAGGTACCTCTCGTGTATAACAGCATGCAGGGGGCCAATTTATTTGTGGTGTGGCGTGGCATCCAGCAAGTACCGCTACCGAGCGCAGCCTGGAGATGTTCCTGAGCCTATCTTGCGACGCCTCATTCGTCCCTAAACTCACTACTGCGACAGATGGTTGAAGCAAAACAAGGCCCAAGCCGAGTCTCGGCCCTGCCTTCAACGTGGCTTGACAGGCTCTAGCACTGCTCTCCAGATCACAATAGAGCCCCTATTTAGTGCTGGCGCTGAGGAAATCGAAAGACCTCCGGAGCAATTCTAATCTAATGGGACAGAAGCACGGAATTCGGCAAAGAATGAAACCAGCACCTGCTCTGTTTTGCGGCCCCCCTGTCAACAGCATCATCTGCAGGATTCGATGGCATGGTGTGAAATATAGGCTTGTGCACTGTATTTGTGTGTGCTGCCAGGGCGAGGGGGCCCAGCTGGACGGGATGCGCACTGTCTTGGCCCATCAGGAGCACGCTCATGGGAGAGAGCGAGGGCTAAGCCCACCTTAAGCTTAATTGCAAGAGTTGCTGGCGAAAAGGCTTGGCTCGGATTGGCGGCGGCGCGTGCTCCAGTGGCTTGCAGTTCGGATACGTAATTGGTAGCCACTCGCTGGTGATCCATGATCCAGAAGAGAGTAGGCCACGACTCTACAACAACCACCGCGCAGCTATTTGGCTCAACCTGGCGTGTATGCATTGCATTACGCGAGTACGGCGAGCGGCTAATTGATATTAGGTCTGATCTGAGGCATATACGTCAGTCAGTCTCTCCCTAGCCCAAGGTGTCGTCCTTGGCTGTCTTTGCCTCGCTTCCGCTCACCTCACTTATAAGCAGGGCTGAGTGCCCAGAAGGAACTCCCAATCCGATTCATCCGCTCTGAAGCTCGCCGCACGGAACTACGGCCCATGAAGTGGCCTTCGAGCTGGCGGCCTCTCTGCTAGCATTACCGCCCTATGCGTGCATACTCCATATTTTGCCTCCAGGAATATAAGCAGAGCCGCCTCCTCGGCGTCTCGCGGCCCAGGGCATCAACCATAAAGCTCCTCTAATAGCCCACACAAGAAAAGGAACGCCATTAAAGTTGGTTTAGTGCACACTCAGATACGCCATCGATTATTGGGCTATAAGCGTCTTTCATAATAAGCTACTCGGATCTTGCGGCTCCCTAGCCCCGCCCTTGAGTCTGTTTTGTCTCTGTTCCGTCTGACCTGGCCAGGATCATAAATGCCGTCTCTCCCGGCCAAGGGGTGCGATTTAAACTCGGCCAATCTTCGAATGCTACATACTTGCGCCGGCTCTTGCACCCCTTTCGCACAGCATAATAGATACGACGTACCCAGTACTCGTACATTTACCTTCTTTTTGATGGTGACGTCGTCCTCCGCTGCCATGGGTCATACCCCACGGTTCGCGACTGATAACCGCCTCAAGGCATCGATCGTAGCACCTTTTAGCACCGGGTGTTCTCCGATAGCCTAGCCCAGCACTATCAAACAGTCAGAGACCAAACCTGCACGACCTCGGGGCTACTGGGAGGAAATCCTGCCAGTTACTCAAAGTTGGCGCTGGTTAAATAGATCGACCGCCGGGTTCGTACAACACCGTTGCTGTTATATGTAGGGAGCAAAGCGAGAGGAACCAGCAGATGTTTGCTGAAGCAAACGCTTGCTCGCTTCCCAGCCGACCGCCGTAGCGAAGCGATACCGTATGTTTTCCAGGTACCCTACATGCGGCAAAATAGGGTACCAGCACTACGTGCAATTTTCTCTGCTGTCGGCTGGTGGTTCCGCAGCCAAATTCCAATGAAGGCTGGTGAGACTTCCTTCGAGTCAGGGTTTGTGCCGCACAGCCGGGCAGCCACATCTATCCACTACGACCTCCAGCTACGCGGAGGATCAATAGCTCGTGTCGCCGCCGCCGTCTTGAACGGCAGTCCATCCATTAGTAGCATTCGTGGCGTTTCCGGCGCACCTGCTACTATATTGCTGCGTACGCGGCCAGTTGAGGTTATTGCCTTCCGAGAGAGCAAGACGCCCATGTTGTAACTTGTAGGTATGCGCAGCGTCAGTGCGATCAATACGAGCAGGGGAATCTGGCCAGGAACTGCTCACGTGTCTTCCTCGAAAGGGTAACTATTCAACAGCAACAGGGGTACGTTACCCATTCGGCACCGCTTTCCAGTGCCTATTCAGTCCATCTCTAACAGCTGTGGAGTCAAGGAATGACACACAGGTGTCCAAAATCGACCTCTACCCTCTGGTCCGGGGATTTCGAAACATCAGTCACTCGGAGTTACGACAACATTCATACATAGTGGTCGGTTGATAGCTTCCTGCCTATCATCAAGTATAAGGCAGCTCGGGGGGGGGGCAGGGCTCATATGCTCATCCCATGGTCGTATATGATGCTGAAAATGGTGCCATACTACCTACTGGGTACCATTTAGCACAAGATTTATATGCTTGTCTGTACCTCCCTCCTAGTACACCTGATTGGTGCCATGTCAGTCTTCACTACGACCATACGGTCTTGCCTCTGTACGTTATCAAGGTCACCACGATGCATCAAACAACTCCCACCAAACAGATGCATCAATGCGCCACATCAACGCCTAACACAGCGCAATGTTATTAGGGAAATTCCAGACCAGCTCTGGAAGAAATTACGATATTGGGGCTGTGGCAAGGGTCCAGGTCATCCTCGTCTGAGGCGCTCTGGGCTGAAAACATGACGGGTGTAGATGGTGCCCTGGCTTCGCTAGCCCAAAGTCATTTCTTCAGCCCGCCGTCAGCTCGGTCTCTTGAGGGCCGTCATGGCCACTGGCGGCCTCTCCATCTAGATGAAAACAAGCATCAGATCCGATGTGCCGAAACGCTTGTCTGCAATAATCGTGGGACGCTGCGGTGCCGTTAAAGCCGGCATTGGGTCGTTGGGGAATTCGTAATCCGCCTCATAATCTCATACCAGATAGCGGGCTCGGCACAGGCGGCACCCCAGTCTATCTTGCCGACTGATCCATATTCTCCCGCCTCGAGTCAAATCACCGGAGGCCGCAGGGCGGGAATAACGATAGCGGTCTTCACCAAATTACGTTACGTAGGCCTTCTCACAGAGAGGGAACAACACAGCACAACAGAATGCGTGCCTGCCTAGTCGAAGGCGATCAACAGACGCTCGGCCGTATGCCGCAACCCTTTGGGGGTGCACGGCGTATCGCAGCAAGGTAGGGGAACAGCACTGTC